GCTAGTTGTGTTAATGGAGGCCTGGGCGACAACAGTCAGCTGTTTTACCTTCTCCGGCGTGCCCATCCTCCATTCGGAAGGAAAAAGGAGAAGTCCACTGTCTCCGCCCACACGATTAACGTGGATTGTGTATTCAAATCTGTGATAACATGTCTTGGAAAAATTAGTTGGGCTTTTAGAAGGTTACGCTGGGTGAGCCTCTTCTATGGGAACTCTTGTCGCGAATAGAGCTCACGGTATGAAATCCTAGGCGAGCAGGTCAAGGAACTTCAGTCGAAGTTGTTGAAGGGAAAATGTTGACAGCACTTTCACATAGATGAAGATGATCAGAATAAACTAGTGGGCGGAGTCAGTAAAATACGTCATTGGCGCCTCACTTCTCTCCCCTTCTGCTCCACCGCGAAAAGATCTAGGAAAAGGAGAGATGTAGTGACGTCTGTGACATCGATTTCTCGCTTCTACCGATTGGCAATCCCGATCGGTATCTTTGATGCGAATGAGGGAGATGCAAAAAAGCACAGTTCGGCTTGGTGGGGGCATTTCCTGGTTTCCATCGATGTCCACTTGACATCTGAGGTGACCTGCGAACTCTTGTTAAGCTACACACAGCTGGAGCTTCGCTCACACTTGACAACAGTCTACAGCTCTCATCCAGGTGTGACGTGTAGTTCAACAGAGGTGCCCCTCCCAAGCTGAGCAGCGCCAAGAAAGTGATGAACATTCTCGACTACCATCTGATTTTGATATTTTTTGTGAATCAAGAACTTTATACCCTATGGAGATTTTTGAAGTAATCTGACCCTTATGTCTCATAGTTTTCTTTGTAGGAGTCGGATTGGCCTTCCTAGCATATCCAGAAGTTGCTAGCAATCTACCAGCAAAACAAATTTGGTCATGCCTTTTCTTCCTCATGATCACCATTCTTGGTTTGGACAGTCAGGTCAGCTTTAATCCCCTTTCCAAGAGTCTTTCTCTAGGAAATCCTGAAAATTGTCCAGGTATGCATGATGGAAGGTCTGTTTACGGCACTCGAGGATGCGTTCCCCTTCATACTTCGGAAGCACAAAAAAGTCTCCCTAGCCATGACCTGTCTGATATTCTTTATTATCGGGATCCCTATGGTTACAAATGTAAGTTGTTAATCGATATATATGTACATGATTACTGGTTTTTTTGTATGGGAACTTTTTCAGGCCGGCGCTTATTGGCTACAATTACTGGACACTTACGGTGCTAGCGGTTATGCGCTGTTATTCGTGGTGTTCTTCGAAGTTATTGGATTGTCATGGGGTTTCGGTAAGTACTACGAATATCACTTGAGTCTCCCAGAGCTTTTCAGATTCTCGTCAGGGCTGTTCAAGTCTTCACCTCTTTTACTCACACTGCCGATCTCGGGGGTAAGGGGGGGGGGGGGGAGGGGACTCGAATTGATAGCTCTGGCTTGAAACTAATCAGACTTCCTTACAGACTTCCACTTACCCTTATGTGGAATAGATACAAACTAAAACATCTTCATAAAATAAAAAAAATGTAGAAGACGTGATGCAGCCTCGGCTTTTTCCTTCCCTGCTTTTTCCTTGGCCCTTTCAAAGCGCACAGCAATGCGGCCAAAAACGCATGGAATCTTCCACGCTTATCACAAATTTTCCGGTAACCGCAAGAAATAATACGTAGGAAACGGGAGAAGCTCATATCTCCTTCATCGCGAGAATTTTCCACCAAGGGCCGACCTGCACGAACACACAAACCTTCTCCACGGGACTTAAAGATACATTTTGCGGTTACAGTTCTTGAGCTTTGGGATACGCCCTCTGTTGCCGCCCTCTGTCTCCTCCCACACAATCAACGCAGAATATGCCTTTCAGCGTGGGGATTGTTCGATTCAGGGAAAGAGTTTCAGTTGATATAATCCCATTTTCGGAACCAGAAACTATTTGACTCTCTACTGGGGACTTCCTTCCTACGGTACATATCTTCGGCTTCCGGAGCCCCCATACGCCCCGGGCACTCACTGTCGAACATCGAATGTTGGACAGCCTTCGGAAATAGGAGCCAGACAACGGTACGAGAGGGGATTTGACCCATCAGATTGACGTGGATGTGTCCTCACTATGGCTCCCAGATTTGGACTGAATAACGAAATATTCACACCGTGAATAATGAATTAGCCCCGGCGGCGTGAAAGCTGGCTAAGGTCCCTAAGGACAAGGGTCATTGAATTTATGATAAAATGGGGAAAATTTTGCTTCGGAAACGTTTATCCTAAATTCAGGAGCTGAGCGAATCCGAGCGGCACTTAAAGAAATGGTTGGCATCAAGCTAAGCTATCCATGGATTATTATATGGAAGTACGCCGCACCAGCTACCAGTGCAGTAAGTCAAGCATTTTCTATGTCCGTTTGAAGTCACTTCTGTCCAGGTTCCTTACTCGCGTCATTCTCGCACGCTGTAACCACTATCCTTGCAAATGATAGGGTGTGTAAAGGGGCTGAATTGGAACGCTACCAGAATAGCATTTTCCACCATCTGCTGCGAACTCACAATAGCATCATTGGTGGAAAAGACGGTCTAGGCAGGCCTCCTCACACGGTCCCACGCCCCATCATTTGCAAGGATCACAGCTTTCCAGTTCCGTACCTCTTCAGTCGAATGCTATTGCAGATACTGTTCTTCTTCTGTGTCATCTATTATCGCCCCGTAAAATATCCAACCGGTGAAGATTATCCCCTATGGGCCAACGTATTCGGATTCTTCTTGTCATCATGTTCAATGGTTGTCATACCTGGCTATGCCCTCTATTACTTGTTATTCACCAATAAGCATTTAACAATTAAAGAGGTTTGTTTGCTTAATTACTGTCTAGTCCCTTAAAACCTATGATCCGTGGAAGGAGGGGTAGGTGCACCAGGAGGTTTCTGCATGTTTTCAAGGGAGAGCGGTACCGTTGAACAGATCTGTCCAGCTTTGTTGCCCTATCTCCTTTTCATCTCATTTACATAGAACTGGACTGATCTTGGTATCATCAATCTTAAGATGGAGACCTGGGGAAATTTTGTGATATGTGAAAAAAAATGAAAAATTGCCTTTTAATATTGCGTGACTGCACCAGAATGTTGCAAAATCCAATTTATTACACAAGTAAAAAAGCTGAATATTAATTCTGAATAAGGGATAAATATCAACCCCTTATCCCCGCGATCTTAGTTCCTGCCAAGTTTGAGATAAGAGGGTCCGCAGCTGCAGCATATCACCTTCTCTCTCGGAAGAGTTGCCTTTCTACCCAGCATGCGCTGCCGCACCGCCGCGTCCACTCGCAACTTTTAAGAGTAGTTGCCAGTTGGGTGGGATTCTCCGAGTAGGACACATCACCCTTTAGCGTCCCATAGCGAAGTGCCGCCGCCTGTAATCGTGGAACAGTAGGACATCATGCTTTAAGAACGACCATAACGATAGACCTGGGTTAGAGTTCCATGGGAGTGAGTTGTAGCCCGCCTGCTGAACCAGTATCTAGCAGCTTCCCTCTGCAGCTCTGTGGCGAAACAGTTGAATCTTGGAGAGCTTCCGAGCATGGCTTACATAAGGCCCCACAGCTGCCATCATGTCGCTACAATCGTAGGCAGTCAGAGAACATTGCTGAAGAGCGTTGCATGAATTCGCTAGCCATTCTTCAGCAATCTTTGCACCTCAGGCGTTAGTTAGTGATGGAAAACGGGCTGGTCACGTACCAAAACCCACACAAGGCTGACACGCCCTGGTTGACTTCAGTGATGACGAGTGTATCTTCTGATGTGCACGAAAATCACAAGACTCGTCCCATCGGCTCCTCCTAACAGACCGCTTACCTTATTTGCCTTCCCCCTGTAAGATGAGTCGCAAAGTGCCATGATCTATAAGGCTTCGTAAGCTTTCACATGGCCACTATTTACGCTTTCTGAAATAAGAACACCAAGAACGTGCCCTGCTAACCAGGTGCAAAAATACCACTCATTTTTAATTTTGTCATAGAATAATTGGTTCAAGGTGTGGGTATTTTCACCTAACCTAATATATGTGTACAGAGTACCTCTCGAATTCATGGCTCATTTCTTTAGTACTAAATGGTCCAATTACAGAGGTTCTTCAAAGGCATAAGAGCACCAGATATCATAGAAACTGGCAGGCCACCGGTTGCAAATGTCGAGGAGCTGCGGTTCCTGAACAACGAGAAGAATTAGGTCAGTTCCAGAATATGTTACCATTACGTAAGTAGCAGCTAGCATGCTCAAAGGCAGTGGACACGACAGCTGTGGGCGGGAGATTGCCTCCAACGTCATTGGTGGAAGGGCTGAATGGATGTGGCCGAGCGCCCCTCGCTGCCATTTCACCAATGACGCTGGCAACCACCGTCCACCACCAGCAATAGTGCCCAGTGCCTTTGAAAGCGCGATCTACGCTGCGCTTTTTTTAACTTATTGGTGCCCCTTCCTGGAGCGATGGATAGGAGCGGCCTGCCAATGAAGCTGGTCACTGTCTCCGTCCACACAACTAGCGAGGAATATGCCTTTCCGGGCATATTGATAGTAGCGGGGCATCAATAAGGCTGACCTCCATCTCTGCGCACACACTTGGCGCGGAATATGCCTTTCAGCAAAGAAATCGTTCCATGAAGAGAGGAACCCAAAAAAAACTGGTCGACCCACTTTTCGAATCCATGAATCCCATTTTTCGACAATATTTTTTCTAGGTTTGTCGTTTATCGCCCATTGATCTGCTGTGGTTTAACCAATGTTATGATCTTCGTCACTCAGCTCTTATCTCTACACTTGATACGCTTCAGTACTCTGTAAAACCACTTTATAAATCCTTTTCTCCTATAACAGAGATATGTTGTGATGCATAAATGAGTCTTTTTCGCTGCAGACGCTAGGGCGTGTCGGGGAGGCTGGGTCTGGCGCGGCACCGCAGCCCGTTCTCCACCAACTGTTGAAGCGGACAAGTGGAAAAGATTGGTGGGAAATGGGCTGAATGCGCGAAGCCCAGCCTGCCTGACACGCCCGAGTGTTTCAGAGAAAACAATTATACCGCGTTTTGACTGTTTGCCTCCGAACGAATGTATGTAAATACATATCCTTTTTACGATACTGTCCATTAATAACTGTGAAGTGTTACGTTAATCCATATTATCAATCAATACACATAATTGTGTTGTCGTTAATCTCCTTCTTGATTTCGTGATCGCGCTGATACACTTCTGAAGAATCTGTTAAAGAATTTAATAAAGTCTGTGTTACAGTTGCTACAATGTTCCGAGCGTGTCACACTCACTCTCACTGTTATTAGGAAGAGAAATAAGGATAAGAAAGCCTTTAAATAATAGGAAAACGACGGCTACGGTGGCGTAATGGAATCGCGCTAGCCCAGACAACGGAAGATGCGGGTTCGAAGTTTCTCTGATAGCAATTATATGGAACTATCACGAAGATTGAAAAAGAAGTTATCGAAACTCAGTCTCAAATGCGAAGAAAAAATTGCTTCGCTCAAAAAATGTTAAGCAATTCTGGAATTACTGTAATTCCAGGCTTAAGTCTTCACCTCTAATCAGTACAATCACTTCTTTGTCGGGGCAGCAGTGTCTCTCTGATAGTGATAAAGTTGATGTCTTCGCTGAATATTTTGAGACTTTTTACAATGACCTCTTGTCCTTACCAGAGGAGACTTCTTGCACCTCTATCTCGGACTGTTCCCTCGATTGGATTGACATCAGTAAACATGTTTATCGTACTCTCAACAGCCTTCCCCTGCGATGTTCTACTTCCCCTGATGGTCTTCCGTACATATTTCTTAGGAAAGCAGCTCTGGGTCTTACTCCCGCTCTTGCCTATTTATTCAACCAGATAATGTTGAAGGGGGATATTCCCACTGTATGGCAACTCGGTTACGTTAGGCCTGTACATAAAAAGGT